CAATGCAAGGTCATAAAAACTGGAGCCTTAAATGTAGCAGGAAACTATTCCAACTATTTTGTGTGACTTGGTATAAAGCTTTGGGCGGGGGGAAGGAAAAGGAAACATCTATCTCCAAACTTTGCTGGTCTTGCCGATTGTATTGTGATTATTTCATGTTCTATCCACTCCCCCTATTAAGCCCAGTTTAAATTACTTTGAGGCTGAAAGAAGACAAACACCCCACAGGGAACACTCCTGAACTGGACAAGGAAGGAGAGCTCAGAAGGTAAGGGGCTAGTAGTCAACCACTTGGGTTCAGTCTCCTGTTCTGCTGCAGGCTCGCTCTGTGATTTGGGCTGTCACAGGCAGATTTCTTAAAAACACCTGGCAAGATTTTCAGACGTGCCTTGTCAACTACCCTCTGTCATAATAAATCCAGCATTCAGCAGGCTGAAGCATTAATTTACCCAGTTTTCTTAGCTGAACATAGAACATCCTGAGCACCCGATCCCTGTAATGAAAGAGAAAAGTACAGCAGGATTCAAAAGTTCATCTTAGATGAATGGAGAGGAGTAGGTGAGGGATCCGTCTACAGCAGGGGCATCAAGCATACAGCCCACAGGACTGGATCCAGTCCCCAGGGCCGTATCATCCCAACCCTGGTGCTGCCCATGAGTCTTATCAGAGTGAGCTACAGGCAGCATGTGGTGCAAGTCGGATGAACCCATGCACCACGCAGGGTGCCCGTTTCCAGCAAGCCTCCCCGAGCAACCACTCTAAGCAGCTGCTTGCCACTCCAAGGCCGTGCTGCGTGTGGCAACTGCACCGGGATTCTGGATCTGGAATACAGGGCTGGTCTGTAGATCCACCACAGCCCATAGACCAGCCCCATGCCACTTTTCCAGCCTACAGGGCAGGATGAGTTTGACACCCCTGGTCTACAGCATTAGGCCAGCAAATCCTCCTACCTCCTCTTCACATAACAAGGTAATCTTTACGGAGAGAGCCGAAAATACTCAAGACCAAGCGGTGTTGTCTGTCCTGTCATATCAAGCACATCACACCTTGCTTTGCCGGCAACCAGGGACTTCAGCTTCACATTTCTGACTTTGCTCTCACTTTGGCAACAAAAAAGGATTGCAAAAACCCCTCATTACTGCCCCATGACATCTAGCCTGGGTAGACCTGAGGTTGTGCCACACATCCTGTATCAAGAGAGCTGTCTGGGGAAGCTCCATGTAGTTTGGAAACTTCCTCTTAGCTCTTTGCTGTGCAAGGCAGGCAGTAGAGCTCTCCCCTGAGGTACACTGCAAGTAAAGCTTGCAGTTTATCCGATATTTCAGTTCAAATCAATCTGCATGAAATCAATCATATTTTTTCTCCCAAACTAGAGACAATATTCAGAGAGCAGGTACAGAGCACAATACCCCAAAAAACTGCATTATCAAAATAAACTGTCTTTATCTTCCAGTAGTGGGAACTCAAAAGAAAAGATTTTGGCATTTACATCCCACTCAAAAGCAACATATTAAAAATACCCACCTATCCATGAACCAGAGGCAGGGTTGCTGGACTATTAAGAAATTTGCCTCTCTAAATGCTTGAAGAGAAAGCTCATTTCCCGAACACCGTAAGACTTGACATCTTTAACTATTCATTTCCTTGCTTGTTTGGTGAATGATAACTACATTGTTGTTACTTAGCAACATTGTTTCTAAAACTGCTAAATAATTTGTTTTCAGCTTATGATTTGATCTGTCGTCCATCTAATATAGAGGGCACGTTAGGAATTAAGCAGAATCCTCTGACAGAAATAGATTGTAAACATTCAATATTAATGATCCATTTCATCTTTAAACAATATAATCATAAATGCATGTGCCACATTTTTTAGTAGCAAAACAAACAACATTCAGTGGCATTTAAAAATAAAAAGCATGGAAAAGAAACAAAATGAAAGGCCTCCCTGAGCTCAAGACTATCTGATTTCCATTTGCAACTGGACTGGGGCATTTGTCACATTTGAACCACAACAGTGGAAAAAAATTAACTGCTCTTTGATTGTCAGGCATCCAAGAAAAAGATTAGAAAGATTAAGATTATAATTTTCTTCCAGCAAGATATTCCTCCTACATTTTTTCCATGTTGTATTCATTCTTTATGTCACGTAAAATGAATTAAAGACATTGCAGTGATAATTTTAAGTTCATTTTGTTAAAGATGCCTCCTCCAGGAAGCGGGAGGAAAAATAAAATTTTCAAGCCTGCATATTATATTCCCATTCAAATAGATACAATTCTTTGAGGTTGGGGATGGGAGGGCTTTTTCAAAGTGTTTGTGCATCCTACTGCAGATTAAGGCTGGAGTCCATGCTTGGAGCAGGCAATTGCCATTAGGAATTATATTTTTTAATTAATGTGTCTGTGCTACAGGTCAGTTGACACAGCCGTCATCCACTTGGGGGCTTAGAGGTATCTATAAGCAGCGGCAACATTTTTCATGGGAGATATTGAAGAGTCCAATCCAGCCCAGGAATCTTATTGATTGCAGTTAGAGATAGCACTTAAAAGAGGCAGACCTAGCTAGATCTCTCACTATTTTTAGAGGTTTTTTTCCAAGCATGTAGCGTGCAATGTATGCTCCTAAACTGAAGTAATAATTTCAGCACTTAAGGAATGAATCTTCATAAAGCATTGCCATATCCTCAATTGGCATCAAAAAGCATACTGAAGGCAGAGGGCACATGGTGTTAATAAGTAAAGGGGCAAAAGCCAATTCCCAAGTAACTTCAAAGGTTTCTCTTTGGATCTGTTGTAAATTGTATGCCAGGTTTCTGACTGCAACTGACTTTAGGTGCTTGATTTTCTTGTTCTAGTGCTTCAGGCATGTTTTTGAAATCATCTCACTTCTTTATACTTACCATGTTTCCCCCACCTACTGCATTTTCAAGACACCCAGACTTTCTGCAAACCTGGCTACTGTCAGCAAGATCTTTTGTTAGAATAAATATTTCATCTGGGGCTAGTGGATAGCACTGGTGAATGGCAGAAAGAGGAGAGAGAGGGGATTTTAGTCAAGGTGTATTGGGAAAAATTCCTTTCTCCAAGGAGTTTTGAAATCCAGTCCACAAAGACTAGTCGCAGCACAGCAGTAAGAGCATTCAGCTTTGAGACCCCTGGGTAAAGATGTAAGGATGCAGAGTTAAAAACAACCTCCTGGGATCTGCTGCTATACTTTCAATTGAGTCTGGTATTTTCAATCCAGAGGTTTCCCTCCTATGCTATTCTCCACACCAATCATTAGAGGCAGAGGCATTCCCTCAAATAAAAGGAAGTTAGCAGTGTCCAGATTATCTGGACATTTTTACATAATGAAAAATGAGCAGATGAACATACGGATAAAATTACCATGGCTCAAACCTCCTTAAGAAGTTCACCAGTAGGACCCTGTGCTCTATACTCACAGGGCCCACAGTGGGCCCTTAGCATCCTCATGGAGTAGCCGTCAAAAGGCTTAAGGACAGGATTTCTTATTTTGGTAGGGCAAGTGGATACTAGCATAAAGGACTGCTTCTCTCATTTAGAGAAGAACTTCACCTTTTCAAGTAATGAAAGTTGGTTTATGAATGCTAGTTCTAGTATTTAAAAAACAAATCAGTAAATTCGAAGACACAGGAGTTCAAACATTTGAACATCCCCCCTCTTCCCCCCCCCACCCGAGTCTCTTAAAATGTCACTTGCATCCTCCCCAGCCCTGCTATCCCTGTCAACATTTGCTGCCCTAAAATAAAACTGTAAACAAGGGAACCTTGAATTTTAGTACAACTTAAGAAAAACTATTCGGCTTCTCCCTTTATAATTCATCTTGGCAATCTGCATTAAGAGGTCAGTAAATGGAGCATAACAGTTTACTACAAACACATCTTCTATACAGAGTCCAATCACTGCCTGTCCAACATACTTTGTTTTTATTATGGTCTTGATGAAGGTGCTTTCAAAGATCTTTCTTGCGCTGCAATAACATTAGGTGAAGGAGAGCACTCACTGTGCGTACTGAACTTTAATAACTTATCCCAAAGGACAATAAAAGTATTAACGAAAATTGCAAAAAGTCTTTACTATTCAAATCTCTAACAACGGCAATTTTTTTCTTGAGCTTAGGTGTTCAGTGCAACTAAACTTTATTCCAGGTCCTTCAAAGAGTAATATTGCCACTTACTGGCCACACCAGGGTCTGTGCAGAATTCATAGACATTTACATGCATCTCTCAAAAGCTCTGTTAACCTTTATACTAGTTGTCAGTAAAAAGCACAGTTAACATTTAAACTGTATATGCCCAACTGTCTACTTCAAACAAGAAGCAGAGGAGACATTCACTAAGAAAGAGGGCTTTTAATTGTAGTCTCATTTACCAGAACTGTATTTGTCTGAGATTTCCAAACAGTCCAAATTCTTTTATATTGAAAAAAGGAACCATAAAGTCACTCAGCCAGCTGACAAAGGGTTTACACATGGCATGTGCATTTAGGAAATGGCCAGGTTCCTAAGCTTTGTGCATATTGCAGATAATGCATTTAACTTCAAAAAGAAAGATACAACTAGATGCATTCACTGCATGATAACTGGAGATCCACAGAGTTTGGATTACGTATACTACCTTGAGATTTACACAACTCGCCCAGCAGGAACATGGGTTTATACCTGACATTAAACACTAGCATAAGCTCATCAAGTCAGGACTGTCTTCATTTTTGTCTGGCAAATATTTGGCCTTTAGCTAAAGATAATTTACTCACTGGATCAGCATTGATTTAACTGATGTGCAAATGACAGGTATACTTAAATTGAGTTTTTGAACTATTTACATGCCAGTGATGTAATTCTCCACATTAACTTCGCATTTAAAAAACACCTATTGATTTTACAGAACCTCCTAAAGGCTGATTCACTTAAGTGGATGGTTGGAAAGAAGAGATAAGAATAAGAGATAAAAGATAAAGAAAAGATTCTCAAATATAAAGACTAAAAGGGAAATCGGACACATTTTATTAGAACTGTCTCTATTAATGATTCATGAAGATGAATTTGTCATTTTGTTCTCCTGTTAGGAGGCTGTTCCAACACGAAAAAGAAATAATGGTCTTCAGTGCTGAAGATACACTCAGAGTGACAATACAGCCATTCAATTAATCATTTTAAAACAAGGCAATCTGTAGAACATAGAAAATTTACAACCAAAACTGAGATCCTCTGACAAAGGGCTCACGAAGCAACAATAAAATTGTAAAGTCCACATCTTTCTATCAAAACTGCAGTCTAGTAGCCTTGTTTCTAAACCTCCTTGGGCTCCAGCTGGACAGAAGTGTCACTTTGGGCAACTGTTCCTTTCACCTCATGTCCGTCTCATCTTCTGTTTTTTTGTTTGTCTCTTCGCATCCTCGGGGCCACTTGTGTCAGAACCTGTCTGTCCCAATGCTCGTACTCCTTGCAGTCGACTCGTCAGCTGCAACAGCAAGGGAATAACCTGGGGAAGAAAGGGGAAGCAGAATACAGTTACAATGGCAGGTGAGCTTAGAACACAAACACTCCTTAGAAATTCTCAGGCAAGCAGGTGTCCACCTGTCCAAAAAAACTGGACTTCTTGAATAACTTGCATGCCTGCAAAACCTGGGCCAGGGATAAATTTCAAGACAGGAGGAACTCAAAACTCCACTCTCCAGAGAGCTCTTCTGCTCAAGTTTAAATAAAATAACTATTGCCTACTTTGCATTCTTGCAAGAAAAACGCCTTCCAAGAGGTAGAGTTATGTGACCAAGGAGATGACATTTTGGTCACCATCATCATCGTTGGCGATCAATCTCTCAATTCGAGGATGATCTCTACCACAGCTCATTGAAGGGTCTTGAGATGACTTAAGAGTCCAATCCTTGAGCCAGTTTGGTCATCATAAAGGAAATACAACAACTTGCATAAAGGAGAGGCCTTGTATAGCTAGATTTTGCTCTTTGAGTTCACATTGCTTTTTCCATAAGCAGAACAAAATTAAAGCAGCAGTACAGGAAGTCATTTTAGCACTTGGCATTTTAAACATACAGGTTGCTTCAAGACATTTGAAATCATGGTTTCTTATACTGATAGAAATGTAGCCTATGCTGTTGAACATAACATAACTAGATATCCCCATCAACAAACCCCAACTTCACTAACACAGTATTGGAGCAGTAAAACAGTAGGCTTATTACCTTATCATGGTTGTACCCAGCTAACAGCAGAAGCAATGTCAGCGGCAATGCGATATAGGATCCTTGGGCTATATCTTGTTCAGGCAACTTTCTCTGTAAGCAACAATAGCCAGGGGTTTTAAGAATATTTTCTGCTGTTTTAACCGTTATGCCTCTCAACTTAAATGACTAAAACGACTAAAAAAAAACAATTATCCAACAAAAAAGTCCCGGACACCATCAGCCCTTTCCACCTGACTAACTCCTGCACCTATGTCCTCAAGTCTGCAAGAAGCCTTTGTTCTGTTTAGCTCACTTACTACATTTTTGTTAGCTTGTTTCTAAAGCTAATACCTAAAAAGCCAAGCACTAGGGATCCTTTGACCACTTTACCATCAACAGGACACACTTTGATTTACCCGACACATACTGCCTAAAACTTCCCAATCCCACCGATTACAGCAACTACACTAACACAAAAGCATCCAGGCATATCCTGTATCCTTCATCCATAACTGCCATTCCATGTTTCCCTCATGTTTCATTGGGGTCTGAACGTGCACTGAGCCAGAAACAAAACATTTCATTAAAATGCTGTATAGAAAACTTTGCTAAACTGGTTGCACTGTTCAACTCTTTGCTGAGGAAGAACAGTCTTAAAAGATAAAGCCTCTCTCAAGGGAGTGGTGGAAGTTCTCTCTGTGAGCTAGTCTGAAGAATCTCCCCAATTTACCCGATAACCTTGGTAAAGGTTAAGACTCTGAACTAACACTAACCACGGAACTTCCCAGCTTTGGAGCTTGTAAATAGCAGCCCTTTCATAGCTGTGGGAGTCTATCATGGGATTACTAAAGCAACCATTTCCTTCGACTGCAAATATAATGGGTTTCACTTATTACCAGATCTCTGCCAATTATAGTTACCATAGCTACCATTCTTTTCCTCCACTTATCCCACATACCCAGGTAAGACGGGTTTTTAAAATCACTCACTGATGCCATTATAGCCCATGGCATGACTTTCGTTTAACTTCAGTTTGTCCCAGGAAGTTTTTCCATTGTACAAAAATGGAAGTTAGATCGAGTCCACAGGAAAACAAGCAAGCTACAACAACAAATCTAACACCTCGAGCTGAAATTAAAACAAAGTTAATATCTGATACTTACAGTCGGACTGAAGACCAGAGTGATGTGCTTGTGGTAACCAATGGCAGTGAAAGAAACCTGAGGCAGGGTATAATCATACTGGGACTTGGAGAGAGTGGAATCCAAGAACACCACATAATTCTGTATATAAAAAATACAATCAGTTACCAGCTACAATAGAACATACCAGTCTTGGACACAGAAAAAAGAATTTAAACAATACCAATTTAATAAAATCTGCTAAGACAATGGTCAGTCCTGCACGCAGACAGATCAGTTCAGTACAACAAACGCTCATGAAATAATACAAGAGACAGAGACAGAGAACTAAAAGGAACAAAGCTGCTGTCATACCTCTCCATCCCGGAGCAATGGTGGGAAATGGAAGAAGAGGGACTGGCCTAAGGAGACTGTATGAGTTGGATTGTCAAGGTTTTCACTTTTGTAAAGCTTCACCTGTGAGATGTAAAGGAAGGGAAGCACAAAACAAAGATGTACAAATCCAACATGACATATATTTCAGAGATCCCATTTCTTGAGAGAAAAAAAAAAACACACTTCTAAACCCAGTGCACAGATTTTCAAAGAAAAATGCCACAGTCAGCCAGGCAATATGTAACACCTGGACTGTCACACACTGAAATTTTTACAGGCTCACAATGGCTTTTCAGAGAACTTTAAGCAGTCCTGAGGCCCCTGGTAACTTGCAATGTCACATCTCAGAGTTTGTAAAAACTCTTCTACTGGGACCTCAGACTTCTCTCTTAAGAAACACCCTGGAAGCTTTACAGTGGCTTCTATTTCTCTGTGCCAATTTCATGAATTGTGCTTATGACAAATAACTACTACCCAGTCCACTGTTCAAACAGCTGGCAGAGTCCTTGCAGATACTGTGCAGCCAATTTTCATCAATTCTGCTCTGTATGTCTGAGAATTCAGCTCCAACCAGAGCTCACCAGAGCAGAGACTGCCAGTTCGTCTGTCAGTTTATGCAGCCACAGGGAGCTAAAGTGAAGGTCACAAAACCTCTCACTTGTGTCTTATGATAAAAATCTTTGCATGAAAGACCAGAGTGACCAAAGGGCACACCCACAGAGTGAGTACAAGAATTAAAAAAATTATAAGACTGCAGGTAATACGGAAACATGTGGGTTTGAAGCCATGTACATGTATTACATGTTAAAACACAATCAATTCTCTTTCCTTATTCACCCGGGCTAAATTTTAGTGAGTACTAAATTCCCTTAAAAAGCTGAGAACAGTACTCTGTAACATGGCATTTTTCCTTTCATACTTGTTTTGCTTTGGTGCTTTCATCATCTCCTAAAAAAAACCTAATGACCTGGCACAAAGGTCTTGGCAAGGAAGTGGTGGGAGAAGAGGAGACGATTGGTTTTTACAAACCTATTTTTAATTCTAGGCCTTACCTTAAATATTTGCCTTGCTGCTGTTAACACTGCAAACAAAGCAACATCATCAAACTTGCAAACACAGCACTTTTAGCAGCAAGTCCATACTTGTGCACTAAAACAACCTGCCCTGATTTTTTGGGGCACTTTCAACGCTATCACTGTTCAACTCCCCCAAAAAATCAGGCCAAGTTATTTCAGAATGTAGCTTCAATTCTGCTGTTTTGCTTTCTCTACAAAGCTTGAATCTCCCATGGAGAAAACAGGCCCCACTAGCTCAGAGAGCCAGTGGGCCAACTTGAGAGAGTTTCTCCTTATTTCTGAACAAGGACAGGAAGAATATTGAAACATCTGTAACTCAAACTGATCTTTTTTAGAAAGTCGCTAGTGGTATGACTAAGATGTAGGCTCTAGCAACAATCCAAATTCCAGTGGCTCAAGACACAATTATCCTGGAACTGAGAAAAAGTACGAAAGGGGTGAACTTACACATAAGGTAGAGAGATACTCTGCAGAAGTGATCACATTTCCACTTAAATCAAATTGGTTAATCTGTCGAAATGCTATAATATTCACATCATCGATGTCTCTATTCCCAACCTACAATGTACAAACACACGACTGGTTATGTTGCTGGAAAGGGAAGTCAACAAGAACACAGATATCCCTGTGAATTTAAAAAAAACCCAAAAAACCAAAACTACTGGTTTTCCTACAATAAGAGCCACGTGAAATGTTGAAGCCTTTGTATTCACAGTTGCTTTTTTCTCTCCAGCTTAAGCAGAAAATTGGTTTGTAAATACTGGATAGCTTACTACCAGTATTTAAACTACAAATATTCGATTAGATAAATGTAATATTCGATTAGATAAATATCTATAAACATTAGATTAAATATTAGCCGGCACGAATAAATATTAGAACTACCAAAACAACATATTTATTTTGAAGCAGGGCTCTTAATCGCACCAGAGCTGTACTAAGACAGACTTCACCTGTGCTTGTGCATCAGGCATTTATTAGGATGCTAGAATGCAGAATAGTTTGCCACCAAAACGTGAAACTAGAAACTTCTCCAGGGGGGTGAAAGTCGTCTAACATGATTCTTCCTTCGGGCCTTTTCAGCTCTAACTTCTGCTCCCTGCTTCCTCCTCCCTGCCCCCAGCTTCTAACTCCACACCAGAGGCTCCATCCTCCACTGTAGCCTTGGGTACTGAGTACACCCCCAGGTTGGCCCCACAGCAGCCATGTGGGCTGCACACCGCTGTTACGGCACTGGGTTGGGACAGAGCTCAGTGTCCCAAGCCATATACAGAGCCTAATGGCATGAAGCAAGGGTAGGGGGGACAAGGAGAGGAGCAGGTAGGGGAGTAGAGGCTGCATATGGGGGTGGAACTGGCTATAGGGGGGAGATGGCAGAGAGCAGAGACAGTGGAGGATGGGAGCAGCTATTATTTGCTGCAATAACCGACCTGATCCTGGGTAGGGGCTGAAGCCCAAGCCACAACAGCTGCCTGCCCCTCTCCCACGGCCCTCATACTCAAAGCTGAGATGAAGGGCTTTTCCCCATATGTTAAATGGGGAAAGCCTCATTTTAGAATCAACTAAATACAATATTTGCCTTTTTTAACCCCCAAATTCTGATCAGTGAAAGAAAGTCTCTTTTAAGCAGAATTAAAAGTTGAGCTGTGATGAGAACAGATGCTTTGAAAATTTTGTGGGTATCAAAGAGGGATAAAGGGAGCAGGTCCCCAAACTGGCAACAATAAGTCTAATCTGGAAGAGTTTCAAATTCTGCTTTTTAAACCTGGACATGAATTTCACCAGCTGGCAGGCTAGTTCAGATGAGATTGGTATACATTAGCATAAACAGGCTATCACGTATAGCGCACAGACTGATCTGTTTTCTGCAATGTGTGTGGGCTCTTTCCTCCCCTGCAAGTGCAGGCACTATTAGAAAGGAAAATTGCATTGCTTAACGAATTCTGCACCTTCCCTTTACTGCAGTGGAGGGCACCCTGGGCAAGACTTGTTTCTAGACAACTAATGGCAGGCCAATTAACCTTTGCTGGATGTCAAGAGAAAAAAGTGAGAGGCTGTGCATCTGAATCTCTAATGATGGAAGGTTATTTACAATATTTGAGTTTTAAATTTAGGAGGCTTGTACTATATTTTAATGAAGATTCACTGATCTGAAAAGTAATTTTACCTGCACCAAGACTTCAGGTTTTGGAGCAAGAAGAAAAGATACCTACCACATGTGATTCAGCAGAGACACCAGTAAGTAATTTAAATAATTGTGCAAGCTGAAAAATTAAATCAACTGGAGTTGCTAGCTAATGCTTTGTTGCACATGATAAAGAAAGAAAGAAAGTGCTATATATTACTTCTCTTGTCTTAGGCACTCAGTTTAGGCTGAGATCCCAATACCAAGAATGGGGAGGGTATACAAAACACCCAGACAGACTCAAGTTAACCAGGCAAAATTTCATTTGCAACACATAGGGGGAACACCCTGAGATTGGCCATGCACCCCCCTCCCCGACCCTACCGAGAGAAGTGCCAGCAGCACTACTGGGTTTGCTGCTGGCGTTTTTGGTTTTGCCACCAGCACTTCTGCTGGCAGCAATTGGCTACTGGGGGACCCCCACCCCTGGTCAGTAATCAGCTACTGGTGCCCCCCTAGTATCAGAAGGCACCACTCGCCCATGCAAAGTTTAAAGGTTGCTGTAAGGAGAATTTACCTCAATTGCACGATTCTGGGGCAAGGCTCTTTCAATATGATCATTGCCTTCAGCTTTGAGTTGGACATGATACACACAGCCAGGCTAAAAACAAAATTTAGAGAAAAAAAAATCCTGTCAGTGAGAAATGATACATTGTTATTAAAAGCATTCAGATACTCAAGAGGTTTTCAAAAGAACACAGAAAACTAAAGCTCTGTTTATGATTAAGCAAGCTGATCCCAGACATGCCGGTCCAAAATATCTACTTCCACTCTGCTTGTTTTAGAAACATGCGGCCCCATATATAAAATATGCATGCTAGCCTATTAAAAAAAAAAAAGTACTACTGCAGTAACAGTTTCATGCTGAAAACTAGTATTCCCAAAACTTCTCTTTGCCTAGACCACATCCCTCTCTAGTACTATTTATATTGACTCCATATAGGTATATTACATATTGATTCGCTGTTATTACATCCAAGCATGGGAGACCTCCATACCATGTCAAGGAAATTCCATAGATGCCTATTTATGACATTTAGTCTTTTAGTAGAATTAACTACTACTACACTACAGGGTCTCCTTCTGCAGAGGGAGTCTGCTCTAGCAACAGAATGAGAGCACAGGAATCTGTAACTACAGAACATATCTCATCAGCAGAAAAACTCAACACAGTGGGCACTTCTACATGTGCTCCAGGGGTGAGGGGGCAGGTGTTTTAGCTAGAGCACCGCTGAGAGCCGCTCTAAGTAAAGCACCACCGTGTCTCCTGTATCAGCATCCCCACACTTAAAAATAGCAGCAGGGGCACTTGAACTAAAGTTCAAACATCCCCACCATCATTTTTAAGCACAGAGAAGATGATACACAAGACACAGGAGGCTGCTGGAGTGCAGCAATTGCCACACTCCAGCAGCCTCAATTAATCAACTCTGCTCTGACGCGCTGGAATTCCAGCGTGTCGGAGCAGCCTGTTACGTCTCAGCTCTGTGTTCTTGGGCAACCCTGACACAGGATGCAGTCTGTCTGACTCACAAAGGACTCACCCCCCCCCTCCCTCCCCTCCTCTACCTAAATGAAACTGATTAAGATGCAGTGAGAGACGCACCTAAGACCCTCACCAGATAAGGGTGATAAGAGTGAAACAACTGCCCTAGGTCTCATTTACATCCAAGATGGAACCAGATGACCATTCATTTACATGAGAGATGGAAAACAGAAAGCCTGAAGCAGAGACTGCAGTGAATTCTGGGACCAGAGAAGCAGGAGAGCGCTGCATGATGGGGAATCTGTGCTTCCAATGTTAATCAACCCATGTTCACACACACCCACCTCAGCATTTATCAGACCAGTTCTAATCTGGATTTACTAAGGACTTTTC